AAAAAAAAAAAGGAAATAAATACAACCAAAAAAAACTCTGTAAACATGAACAAAAGCAAATGATAAGAAGAAAAAATAAAAAGATGTATATATAAAATTACTCCAATTATGTAAAAAAACATAAAAAACTAAAATGTTAATAGTGATTATATCTTAGAATTATGAGTGACATGTTTTCACCTAGTTATTTTTGTGTTTTCAATATTTTGTATAATGAAAACATATTAACTTTTTTCTGATTATAAAAGCATTATTTTGGGGCCAGTGCCTGTGGCTCACAGGAGTAGGGCACCAGCCCCATATGCCAGAGATGGCGGGTTCAAACATAGCCCTGGCCAAAAGCTGCAAAAAAAAATAATAATAAAAGCATTTTTTTGAGATAAAGTCTCTTTGCCCAAGCTAGCATGCCATGGTGTCATCATACCTCCCAGCAATCTCAAACTCCTGGGCTGAAGCCTAAGGTTCTTCTCTTAGACTACAAGGGTACTCCACCATGTCCAGCTAATTTTTCTGTTTTTAGTGGAGATGGGGTCTCGCTGTTGCTCAGGCTGATCTCGAACTCCTGAGCTCAAGCAATCCATCCACCTCAGCCTCCCAGAATGCTAGGATTACAGATCTGAGTTACCACACCTGGCTATAAAAGCATTTTTCTGGAGGTCAGTGTAACAGCCCAGACAGGGAATGATGACAGCCTGAAACAGAAAACAGTAGGAAGAACAACTATAAAAGGGTAGAATAGAGAGAGGAAGAAATAAATTTGAAGGCCAACTGGGCATGCCAGAAGGGAGAATCAAAAATGACTCCTATACTTGTTTAAAAATACAAAATTAAAGCTAGACAGGAGGAATAATTTCCAATATTCTAAAGCACTGTAGGATGACAACAGTTAACAATACATTGTATAGTTTCTGGCTTAGCGCCTGTAGCTCAGCAGTCAGGGTGCCAGCCACGTAAACCGGGGCTGGCAGGTTCAAATCTAGCCCAGGCCTGCCAAACAACAATAACAAAATAGCCAGGAGTTGTGATGGGTACCTATAGTCCTAGCTACTTGGGAGACTGAGGCAAGAGAATCACTTAAGCCCAGGAGTCTGAGGTTGCTGTGAGCTATGACACCATGGCACTATACTGAGGGTGACATAGTGAGACTGTCTCAAAAAAATAAAATAAAATAAAAATACATTATACAGTTTCTAACAGCTAGGATTGAACATTTCCTTGTTGTGAATGTTCCTAACATAAAGAACAGATCAATGTTTCAGATGAAAGATATACTAATTACCCTGATCTGATCACTATATATCTAATGAAACATAATTATGTATTTCATAAATGTATATAATTATTATGTGTCAATTTAAAACATTTTAAAAAGAATGATTCCTAGGTCTTTAACACTGGCAACTAAGGAGATGGCAATGTAGGTCATAGAGAAGGGGGGGTTTTGAAAAAAAGGAGGTAAATATTGTTTTTATTATGTAGAGTTTTAAGTTTCTGGTCAACATCCATATAGAGAATGTCTGGTTTAGGGTAAAAACAAGAGTCTAGAATTCAGGAAAGAAAGCTGTGGATAGGCTCCGTGCCTGTGGCTCAAGCAGCTAAGGCACCAGCAACATACACCTGAGCTGGGGGATTTGAATCCAGCCTGGGCCCACCAAACAACAACTGCTACAACCAAAAAATAGCCGGGCATTGTGGCGGGCGCCTGTAGTCCCAGCTACTTGGGAGGTGGAGGCAGAAGAATCACTTGAGCCCAGGAGTTGGAGGTTGCTATAAGCTGTGATGCCACAGCACTCTACCCAGGGCAACAGCTTGAGGCTCTGTCAAAAAAAAGAAAGCTGTGAACAAAAAATAAAAAGATTTAGGAATTCAGATATAGGTGGCAATTAAAGAAACAAAAACATATAGTGTGAGGACTACTAAGGAAATAAACTGGAGAAAACATTTTAAATATTAAATAAATTACTATGAGATAGAAGGAATGCTTGAGCTCAGGAGTTCCAGACCAGTCTGAGTGAGAGTAAGGCACTATTATCTACAAAAAATAGAGAAATTAGCCAGGCATGGTGGCAAGCGATTATAGTCCCAGTTAAACAAGAGGCTGAGGCAGGATGATTGCTTGAGCCCAGTTTGAGGTTGTTGTGAGCTATGGTGACACCCCTGGACTCTAGCTAGGGTGACCGAGTGAGACTCTGTCACCAAAACAAACAAATAAATTCTTATACTAGTTTGCTTTTTATTATTACCTATTTATACTTTTAAGTTTAATACATCAAACATGATAAATTTTATAAGTTATACAGAAAACATTTTATTTTAGTATTTTTTGACTTCAGCTCCATAAAGGAAAAAATAATTCAGGGTTTTAATTATTTGGGGGCTATATTTTTAAATGACAGAGTCTTACTCTGTTACTCAGGCTGGAGTACAGTAGCAGCATTATTATATCTATTGTCAGCTCAAACTCCTGGGCCCAAGGATCCTCCAGCCGCAGCTGAGACTACAGGCGCACCACTATACCCAGCTCATTTTCTTTTATTTTTTTTTTGTAGAGATAGGTTCTGGCTTTGTTGCTCATTCTGGTCCTGAATTCCTGGTCTCAAGCAATCCTCTCACTTCAGCCTCCCAAAGTGTCAAGATTGTAGGTAAGAAACACCATACCCAGTCAAAAAATTAGTTTTAAAAATTTCTGAAATTTATAAAATAATTTATGTGAAAATAAATAACATGAGTTTCTATCTTTACCTCCAAGGCTTCATAAAAGTCCAAAGAGCAGATTCTCAGTTGGCCTAAGCCCTCTGAGGCATATTTTATTCCAGGTAAAAATACATTCCTTGAAAACCCTGACCAGGTAAAATCTACCGGGGCAGTGCCTATGGCTCAAAGGAGTAGGGCGCTAGCTCCATATGCCAGAGGTGGTGGGTTCAAACCCAGCCCTGGCCAAAAACTGCAAAAAAAAAAACTACCTAACCAGCCAATCACATAAATTATCTTTCTCTAATGAAAGCTCCTCCTTCTAGGTTGTTTTGGTTTTTTGGTTTGGTTGTTTTTTGTTTTCTTAAGACAGTGTCTTACTTTGTCACCCTGGGTAGAGTGCCCTGGCATCATCATGGTATCATGGTTCACAGCAACCTCAAACTCTTGGGCTCAAGCCATCCTCCTGCCTGAGCTTCCCAAATAGCTGGGACTACAGGTGAGCACCACTATAGCCAGCTGATTTTTCTATTTTTAGTAGAGAGGTTGATCTTTAGTCAGGCTGGTCTTGAACTCCTTAGCTCAAGTGATCCACCCACCTTGGCCTTCCAGTGTGAACTAACATGTCCAGCCTAAAGAAAGTTCCTTATACTCTCAACCATAGCCTCTTCTAATCTGACCTAAATCTACAATAATCCCCGAAGAATCTCTGGAAGAGGCTCTTTAGTCCCCTTCTCTATACCTTTTCTCCTAAGTGCCAATTAGTGTAGCTTCTCCTGTTACTGTTTGAATACTTTATAAACTAAATTCAAACTATCTGAAACTGACAGCCATAAAATTTTAGAACTGGAAAGGTCTTCTGACATCATCTAGGGTTACCCTTCATTTTAAAGGTGAGGAAACTGGCTTGGCACCCTAGCTCAGTGAGTAGGGCACTGGCCACATACACCGAAACTGGTGGGTTAGAGCCTGGCCCAGGCCTGCTAAACAACAATGACAACTGTAGACTCAGTGCCTGTAGCTCAGGCACTGTGTTTGGGTGTCAGCCACATACACTGAAGGTGGCAGGTTCGAGCCCAAACCAGGCCTGCCAAACAGCAATGACAACGACAACCAAAAAATAGCCGGGCATTGTGGCAGGCGCCTGAAATCCCAGCTACATGGTAGGCTGAGGCAAGAGAACCGCTTAAGCCCAGGAGTTTGAGATTGCTGTGAGCTGTGATGCCACAGCACTCTACCGAGGGTGACATAATGAGACTCTGTCTCAAAAAAAATAAACAAATAAAATAAAAATAAAGGTGAGGAAACTATGGTTCAATGCATATGTGACTTGCCCAAGGTTATAGCTGAACAATGAAAGAGTTTGAGATGCAAGTTTCTATATTTCCAAAGCAGTGCTTTAAATGCACAGCTTCTCTCTCTCTTTTTTTAAGAGATAGGCACAAGGTCTCACTCTGTCATCCAGGCTGGAGGGCAGTGGCACGAACATAGCTCACTGAACTTCAAACTCCTGGATTCAAGTGCTCCTAGTAGCTAGGACTACAAGCATGCACCATCTTGGCTGACTAATTTTTTTTATTTTTTGTAGAGACAAGATTTTACTATGTTGGCCAGGCTGGTCTTGAATTCAGCCTCAAGTGATCCTCTCACCTCAGCTTTCCATAGTGATGGATTACAGTCATAGCCATAATACCCAGCACATACATTTTATTTCTTTGCACTGCTAAAATTACAGCTGCATTTTCTTTTTTTTTTTTTTTATTTTTAGAGATCGGGTCTTCCTCTGTCACCCCAGGTAGAGTTCAGTGGTGTCACTGTAGCTCACAGCAGTTTCAAACTCCTGGGCTCAAGTGATCCTCCTGCCTCAGCATCCCAAGTGGCTGGGACTACAGGTACTCACCACCATGCCTGGCTAATCCATTTGATTATTAATGGAGACAGAATTAAGGTATGAGTAAGAGTACAAGTAAAGTAAAAGCAAGAAACTGAAGACCCAATGCTTCCAACCTCTTGTTGGAGCTGGAACTGTATCAGAGTATAACAATGAAAGAGTCAAATTTGTATTGTGTAGAATAATGTTAAGTATTTTTATTATAAAAATAGAGGGTGAGAGGAAATTTTTTGAAGGTGATAAATATATTTATGGCATTGACTGTGGTGACGGTGTCAGGGGTATATGCTTACCTCCAAACCTACCAAGTTGTATACATCATATATGAACACCTTTCTGTACGTCAATCATACCTCAATAAAGTGGTTAATAAAAAGAGTAAAAGCACCATTATTTAGTCTGTAGATATTGTTAACAATTTGATCTATTTTATATTTGTGCTCCATTATCTTCTAGGAAGGATTTGAGATGACTTGCAAAATGAATACCAAAATAAAACAGAACTACAATAATTCAATTAAATACCTAAGTGGCTATTCTCTAAAAATGAGTTACTAAAGTACTACGAGTATGAATACAAAGAGAAAGAAGCATGATAGAAAAAAATTCAGCACTATATATATTTATCACCTTAAGAGATGGTACCTTCAAAATTCCTGAAGCCTATTTAGAATATTTAAAGGTCAGGAAACATATAAATAATTAGTGATGCTTTTGTACTGACATTGAGAACATACAACAATAACATTCTTAATTTACTGATGTACTATAAAATCTAATGAACAACCAACTAAATATCAGGCCTGATGTATCAAAATGAGAAATAGAAGAGGACAGAAGAATTTCAGGAAAATAAAGGACAACAAAACACTTTCATAAGGGTTGAGCCAAAAATAAAGCTCATATAGTAACTTTTTTAGAGAAAGGTCGTGGACCCTGGAGTTCTGAGTAGAAGTGCCTAACAAAGTGAGAATCTCTCACATTTGAGAAGTAGTAACTAATTTCCTTCTAGGCCCTCTTCTGGGAAAGAGTAGTTTTAAGGAACAGACATACCAGTTATTCAATACCTCGATTTTTCTCCCAAGTAATGCCATGTAATTCTATACTCTGAAAAGTTTTTACCTGAGCACCACTACAATTGGACTTTCACTTCCAGTTATTACCATTAACCCCTTCCAGATCATTAGTGCTGAAGAGACAATCATTCCAAAGTTGAGGACTTGGTAATACAGCTGTAAGAACAAAAGAAAAGAAGTAAGATCCACTATTATCTCCACTCAGGAAAGCAAATGAATGTAGTATCAATTTAAAAGTTTCAAGTAACACTATTAGGGCAATTAAATTTCTTACATTTTTTTAATGTACTGTAATAATTATTATACTATCAGCAGACTAGAACAGTCCTCCTTTCAAAATAGAGCATGCTCTATTTTGTTTGTTAAAATATCAGTAACATTTATAAATAACATATTGGTTTCATAACCTTTCAAACAAGTTATTTCAGTTAGGTCTCGCAATCATTCAGCTTAAATTTAATCATACCTATGCTATCTACTAGCTGACAGTTACATATCTCTGCTCTTGAAATCCTCTAGTACTCAATTTCCTTCCTTCCTTTCTTTTTTTTTCTCTAAGAAACAGAGTCTTGTTCTGTCGTCCAGGCTGGAGTGCAGTGGCACAATCATAGCTCACTGCAACCTCAAACTCCTGGGCTCAAGCAATCCTCCCACTCTGGCCTCCCAAAGGGCTGGAATTAAAGGTGTGCACCACTGCACCTGGCCTCTAGTACTTAATTTTCTACAGTAAGTATCCCTTGATAATCATGAGATAGTCGATGACATTTAATTCCTTCACTTTTTAGTTGAGGAACTTAAACTTAGTCTTAGAGAGAACAGACTTCACCAAAGTCCCATACCCTTAATAGTAACATCGTCAAGACTAAAAGGTCAGCCTAACTTACTAAATTTCCACTACTCTATAAATTTTAAAATTCCATGACTTAAATGAGCAGATACAATACCAGAAAGGCATTTTAAGTAAGGGAAATAATGTGAGCTAACTGTGTTAGGCCACGACTAAAAAATGGATAAAATTAGACGGGATGACTACAAACAAAGACATGTAATTTAAAGAATCAAAAAAGCTGGGGCTAGATAGCCGGGTGTTGTGACAGGCACATGTAGTCCCAGCTACTCGGGAGGCTGAGGCAAGAGGATCACTTGAGCCCAAGAGTTTGAGGTTGCTGTGACCTGTGACAGTACAGCACTCTACTGAGAGTGAGAAAGTAAGATTCTGTCTTAAAAAAGAAAAACAATCATCAAAACCAAAAAAGCTGAGGCTAGAAAGTACTGGGAGATCCGAGGTGTGTGTATTGCTTGAGCTCAGGAGTTCAAGACCAGCCTGAGCAAGAGTGAGACCTTGTCTCTACTAAAAACAGAGAAATTAGCTGGGCATAGCAGTGGGTGCCTATAGTCCCAGCTACTTGGAAGGCTGAGGGAGAAGACTGGCCTAAACCCAGGAGTTTGAAGTTGCTGTGAGCTATGATGTCATTGCACTCTAGCCTAGGCAACAGAGAGAGATTTTTTTTTCTAAGAAACAAGAAAAAAATAAAAAAGAAAGAAAGAGAGGGAGAACGAAAGAGAGAGAGAATGGACTTGTAAAAATCTGAGAAAGCATATTAAAGTCCAATTATAGTGAACCTTACATGCAGGACTGAAAATATGGACCTAAAAAAAACCTTCAGAATATACTTTAAAGTGAAAAACCAAGTTTCAAAAATATGTACAACATGAGCTCATTTTTTTTTTTTTCGAGACAGAGTCTCACTATGTTGCTCTTGGTAGAGTGCCATGGCATCACAGCTCACAGCAATCTCAAACTCTTGGGCTTAAGTGATTCTCTTGCCTCAGCCTCCCTAGGAGGGAGGTGCCCGCCACAATGCCTGGCTATTTTTTTGTTTCTGTTGCAGTCATTGTTGTTTGGCAGGCCCAGGCTGGGTTCAAACCCACCAGCTCCAGTGTATGTGGCTGGCACCCTAGCCGCTGAGCTACAGGTGCTAAGCCAGTGAGCTCATTTTTGTTATTTAAAAAAAAGATATATAGGCTCGGCACGGTGGCTCACACTGTAAGTCCTAGCACTTTGGAAGACTGAGGCAGGAGGATCATTTGAGCCCAGGAGGAGTTCAAGACCAGCCTGAACTCTACTAGGGAGCCAGTCTCTACTAAATTGAAAATTAGCTGGGCATGTGGCAGATGCCTGTAGTCCAAGCTATTCAGAAGGCCAAGGCAGGAAGATCCCTTGAGCTCAAGGGTCTAAGGTTGCTGTGAGCTAAGCTGATGCCATGGCACTCCAGCCTAAGCAACAGATTGAGACTCTGTCT